CCCTCAAACCAAGGCTGCTTTGCAACAGTGACCCCCAAAGCAATCCTGAACTTACTCTACTATGCAAATGTAATTGGACAGAGCAATCCCAATGTAAATCTGCTTATCAAAATATTACTTGGCTAACAATAAAATAACATGTTAAAAACAATATTGACAATAAACTTTATTTATAATGGATTGATTCCTAGTTTGCTCCCTCCCCCTGGAATTTCTTTAAAAAGTAAGTTCACTCCTCACCCTCTGCAGTCAACCCTTTAACATACTGCTGGCACTAGATTTTACTGAAATGTAACAACTGCTTTTGATAATAACCACGTCGTGTGTGTGTGCAGGTAAAATACATTAATCTTCCCGCTATATTCAAACAATTGAGTTCAATTACTAGATCAATCTAGTTTTTGCAATTTAACTTAAAAAAAGCAAGAATTCTACAAAAACTATAGAAAAGGCTATAAGATTTATTAGTCCTAAAATGCTGAAGAAACTAATCGGAAATACTCAAATTCATGTCTACACGTATTACTTCCTTTCCCTTAAAGGTGAAACCCATTTTGATAGTACACTTCCCCTATCACATCAGCCTAAACTTAGTTTTCAGAATTTTTCAAGTAAAACATTTAACTTCAATTTCTTCACCAAAACATGAACATTAATCAAAAAATAAAAACATAATTGCCTTTAAAAAAATAAATACATTGACTACAATTATATAGTGTATTAAATGTCAAAATTGGATCATTTAACAGAGGTGCAAATATGTCTAGCAAAACACAGCAGCTAAATGCAATGTCATATTTATCATTGTGTTTTAATGGCTGCTGGAGACAAACAACTTCTTCAAAAGAATACAAATTAATATTAGTTTTGCATTTCAACCTTTAATAGTTTCCAACTTGCTGATTTAAGAACAGTACCATAAAATTAATTCTTCCTTCTGTTGGACAGATAAGATACCTAAAAAAACCTCAAACAAACCAAAACCAAACAAAAAACCTGAAGTGTTCCAAAAAGGCAGGAGGCTCTCTCAAAAGGAGCTTAAGAAAATGGCTGCCAAAGTAAGGAAGCCACTCCATATGCATGCTGTGAGGCAAAACGATGAACACTAAAGGGAAAGGAAGCCTCATGTTAATATTATTCTTTGTTTTCAAAACATACATAATTTTCTACACTATTAGGGGGAAAAAAAAAAAAAGACTGGGCATTAGCTTATGCAGAAATTCTGTCAAAGCAAGCATAAGCACTTGCTTTCAACAGTTATGTTACTAAAATAAACGCCCAAACTAGAATGCTTGCACTGTTTGAGGTGGAGTGGGGTGTCTCAGACATTATCAGTGCCAGTAAAGGGTCCGGGGACAAATGTTATTACAGCAGAGATCTCAGCTCTCAGCCGAAGATGCTATATAGCAAGCCTTAGGAGACCTCGAGGGCACACCCACACTGCTCTGAGTCTAAACGCTTAATCACAGTAGTCCCTGCTTGGCATGTGCAAGGGAAAGCTCTGGGTTTGAGACTGCAGGCTATTTCCTGAGCGAGCAGCCACCCATCCCCTTCCAACCACAACCAGCCTTCCCCGGCTGCCAAAGCGCAGGCTGAAGGAGAACGCTGGGGCTGGGTAAACGCTGCCATTACCTACCACAGAGAGCTGGACTTTTGCCCTCGGACACAGCTGCCCCTCTGCCCTTTACTCTCCCAGCAGCAGCAGTCCTGACCCGCTGGGTTGGGCTGTGAACAAGTGTGGGAAGCAGCACTCCGTCGGCTCAAGCAGCTGTTGCCGGCACCCTCCCAGAAAAAACAACAGACTCGAGAGAAGCCGATCAAATGCCACCATTGGACTGCTCCAGCTTAAATCTAGTCAGGAATTCAGTGCTTGGATCCCCTCCTCCATCTTCTTCAAGCAAAACAGCAAAAAACCATGCCGATGTGACAGCTTTTTTCTTGCCATTCAGCAGTGAAAGCAACAAGCGCGTGTTAATCCATCAAAAATGGTCCTGAGATTCAGCACATGGTGGACTACTTGGGAACAGATTTCTAAACTCATCTGAGAGATCACTATATTTTCAGGCACAGACAGTCTACTGCTCTAAGTATTTTTACCAGTAAATGAAACGAACACTGAAAACCAGCCAAACAGCACACAGGCTGCAAAGTAACAAATGCTGACCTAGTGACTTTGGATTTAACATCAAATTTGTCACTTGTATTGACAAGTGTGCCCTGATTCCTTTCACAAAACTTTGAAGTTGTAAATTTTGCTTTCAGTTTCAATCTAGTAATATAACAATACTGATATGCAACTAAAATAAATCAAGACTTAAAAGCTTCTTCTAAAATTTACTTTTATTGCTATTTAAGTCCACAGAAACCTACTTTGACATTTCACTGAACATTTAAATTTGCACATAGTGAGAAAATGCAACTGCAACACTGGAAATATTATTCAGCTTTTTAAATGTCACTTAATGCAGCTCCACAAGCCAACTAATACACATTCAACTCTCCACGTTATGTAAAGAAGCCCTGTAAACTGGGTAGAGTTCTTTCTTATTAATAGCATGCTTATAGAAATAAAACAGATCTTTCATCTCTAATGCCGAGCTTAAGAAAAGCAAAGCACCAGCTTCTGTGGGGGGTCTTCCACAGTCATAAAAATAGACCAATAGACTGATGCCAGTCCTGCCCTCCACCATAATCGCACCCCTCACACACAACTGCCAGGACCTGCTGTACAAATCAGCTCTGAGAATCGATTTTGCTGAGAACCAACCGAGAGTGGGAGCAGGATGAGCCAGACTTCAGAAGCTGCCCATGCTTCAATGTTGAATGGATATGACTGTGCAACTGTGCTTTTAAACACAAGTGTAATCTAAAATGGCAACCACTAACGTTCTTCTGGGCTGCCAGTGGAGCATTGACTGGAAAAGAGTAATATCCAATGAAATAATTTATTATTGTTATTGGTTTTGTCAGCATTTTTCCTGTCTTGGGGACACCTTCCTACAGAAACTTCATCTGAGCCTAACCTAATGTGCATCAAGATAGACAGCTTAAACAGAAAAACTGTAAATAAAAGCAAAACCACTTGCTTCCAATGTTTTGAAGAAAAAAGAAAAAAAAAGGTATTTTATGTTGTGTCAATTTGTTTTGAGAAAGAACAACACAGCACAAAGTGACCCACAAAAATGCACAATCCTGTATTCTTCACTTTCAAGAATTTTAGCATTCAAGGATACAGGGTAACAGTGTGGGATATGAATGTTCACAATGCAAGGGCATTAGTTTTTAGAAATAGCTTATAACTTCTGCTGTTTCCAAATTAATCTTGTATAACCAGAAGGAATATTTCACATCATGGAAAAATTCTTTGATAAGCTCTAGCTTTTGAAAGTACTTTCAAGAAATGGTTCACAGACTAAACATGAGATTTTACCTATGATTTAGCAATTCTTCCTCCCACCACTCCCAATGCCTACTGAAATACAAACAAAATGTAAAGTATTTCCAGCAAAGGCAGAAGTTGGACAAATTCTACTGCAAGAATGACGTGGTTTTCCCCCCTCCTGTTGTTATCCATAGATCTGCTTTCTTCCCACCCTCTGCTATGAAGGTGCTGGAGCTTACACAACACAGCTGGCATAGTTGGCCTTGCTAAATTAGCTCACATCCAAATCAATTGATGGATGGGCTGCAGCTGATATGCAGTCCCAACTGCAGTCAAACACATAACTGACTCAAAATTTCAGCAAGCTTTCCCCTTCTGGACAGGCAACATACGATTGCCACAGGATTGTCACAAGTCAAGAGTGCCTGATAAAGCATTATTTGATAAACACTGAACACCACCTTTCAAATTTAAAAGGCATTAGTAGTGAGCAAAGCATAGCAAATCAAATAAAAGAGAACCTCTTGGGATTTTAATGCCAAATCACGTTGTCCAAATTTAGTCTTGCTGAAGTCACTAGGCATAAGAACAGAGTCCAATGCCTGTAAAATCTACTGAAGACAGAAGACAGGTATTCAGTGAGAACTATGTGATAGAAAGGATAAAGAACAAAGGCTATTTTGTTCTCACCCCTATTTAAGCACTCAGTTACCTCTAGTGAATCAGAGCATGGAGGACTTAATGACCTTTTTGTGATACTTCCTCAGAACAGGTCTGTATTTTTTCTTAAGTAATGCAGATAAAGCAGCTTGCAAAACACAGCAATGACAGGCCTACCGAAACGATCAGATAACAAGCCTTAACTTCATAAATTCCAACCTGATACCTATCCTATGATGGATACTCTGGAGGGCAATCCTATTTTCATTAACACAACCAGCACAGGATAAAGTTGCAAATACTCTGTCAGCAAATACACACCTAGTCTTCACTGCACTGATCACTTCCACAGCATTATAAGGGTGTCCTAACACCCACCTCAGCCATCCGTCTGCACAAAAAAACCCAAACCAGGATGCCTAGCAAGGATGTCCGCAGGACTGGGTGCCGTGCCCACCCCGGCACACCCGCTGCCCGCGGCGGATCACCGAGCAGCCTCCCCGCCGTCCCAGCTCGGATGCGGCAAGAAGGGGCCGGCGGGAACCGGCCCCAACCCCGCAGCTCGGCCGCCGGCGCCGGGCAGCGCCCCAAACAAAGCGCAGCGAGGCCGGCCCTGCCCGCCCCACGGCCCCCCCCCCCCGGGCTCCGCGCAGGGCCCCGCCGCCTCCCGCCTTTGTTCGCTGACCCAAAAGCACGCTGTCCCCCTTCTGCGGCACTCCCCGCCCCCCCCCCCCACACCCCTCCAGCATCCGCGCCCGCGGAGCCGCCTCAGAGGGCTCCGAGAACGGGGAAGGCGGCGCCCGGGCCGCCGCCCGCGCACGCCCCGCCACAGCACAATGGCGCGACGCGACAAGGCTCAGCCCGCTCCAGGCGCCCGCCGGCGGCCCTCGGTGAAGGGAGGGGAGACCCCCCCCCAAACACACACACACCCCCCCCCCCCCCCCCCGCTGCCCCTCACCTTCCAGCCCCTCCATGGCGCGCCCCAACCGCCGCCACCGCCCGCCCCGCCGCCGCCGCTGCTGTGGCAACGCCGCCACCTCCCGGCCCGCTAACAACCGCCGCTCCCATTGGCCGGGCGGCGCGGGCGGGCGGGGCCGGGCGGCCCCTCACAGGCACGGACACGGACCCGGGTGGGGCGGGCCGGCCTCCCTCGTGGGTACTGCGCCGTGTGTTCCCCCCCGCCCCCTCCCGGCAGCCGCCCGTGGCGGTGCCCCCGGTCCTCCTCGAGGGCGCGGGGCGCTGGCTCAGCATCTTCCCGCAAGAACCAGTCGCAGCGCAACTCGGGTACGCCCGGACACGTCGCGCAGCCCGTAACGCTGAGGCTGCGCTGCGACGCGTGGGGAAGAAGTAACCGCGCTGCTGAAAAGGGAGCAGAGCCGCCCGCCGCTGCGTGGGCGCGGGGGGCCCTGAGGTGGCGGCGGGGCCCGCGGCCGCGGGGCCGGGGGGCAGCGCGGTGTGGGGGGGGGGGGGGCTGGAGCGGGTGCCCCCTTGCTTGCAGGAACGCTACGGGCAGTCGCAGGAAAAACACCAAAAATGGTTTTCGGGTTCGTGTCCTGAAAATAACGGCAAGCAATGGATTCCTCGCCCTTTTTCCCTCCCGGTATCTCCTGAAGTGAAAGAGATGCTAATGTAAAATCAGTATCCGAGGGTATCTCCTGTTACAGGGTAACATTTGAGTAATGGATGGTTTGGGAAAACTATTGCTAAATTGCCGTTGACTAATGATTCTGAGGAATACTGAAATTCTTCCGTTCCTTTTACAAGAGCTTTCCACATTTTTAGCAACAAAAGCATTTCAAGATTTTTTTTCTTCCATACATTATTTTAGAATTAATTCTTAAGATCTTTTATTTGTCTTCCTTGTAGCAATATACTGTGAGCAGCAAATAAAGTTTTTCTATATAAACTGCAATAAATCTTACAGAAACTACTGCCTTTACAGGCACGTGCAAATAATTTCTCTGCTTATTCAAGACGAGTTGGTTGATGCAGATTTGCTTGTCCATAGAATCACAGTTACTGTCCTAATCACACTGCATCTGGGAATACAACTCAGAGAAAGCAAGACAAATACATAAAATCTAAATTAAATCCGAGATGATCATGTCTTCTCTGCATCCCCTTAGCATGGGACAAATAGATCCAGATGTTGCATGCCAAACAGCCAGCATGGAAACCATGATTAATATATGATTAAAACCATCCTTTGAGACCAAAAATTTGAATATATATGGCAATTCTAGCTGCAATTTTTCTAGGTAGTTTAGAAGAATACAAAAAATACATTTCAAGTTGTCTTTGATGTATAGAACTTATGCTTATAAAATTACAGGCCATGCTAGAAGGAACTAGTTTGCCACCATCTTGCAGAGTCCTAAACTTTGCAAATTATTCATTATATCTGACATAAAATTTAAATGACCCTGGAGCTAGACAGTATTTGCTGTTTAACCACTAGGGCAGTGTATCAGAAGCGCACTGCCTTGCATGGTATTTCTGTACTTGGACTGCAAACTCAGAGGCATAGGATGATTTCATCTCTCAGCAGGCAAGTACTTTGTAAGGAAAACGAACATATTTTTTACCTTGTGTTCTCAATTTAGTGAAGGGTTTCACATTAGAGGAGCATTTTGGTTTGGTTTGTTGTTTCTCTTTGAAATCTGTGGTTATTTTTGTTAAAAACTGGGGCAGGAGATAACTTCAGCTCAGCCATCTCCAAGTGTATACAACGTGGTACTCACGTCTGAGCAACCTGTCAAGTTTCCCAGTATAGCCTATAGAGATTTGTTCCTGTATTTAATATAGTCTACGGGATTGAGGTGTCAATCCACCTGGCCAAATGCAGTGCGCTTCAGGATGAGAGACAAGTAAATAGTCAACACCTGCATTAGAGTAGTCAAATCCTACTCTACATTTCTTCAGGCTGAATCCTGTACTGAAAACAGACTTAATGCTTAGTTGGGCTCTGCAAGGGTGCCATTTTTTTGTCATTCCATTACTCATCTAAGAAGTGAAAGAAGTAGAAGCTGGCTTATAAAACAACTGGGCAAGTGACCATTCTGCTGCAAAGCTAAAAGGTGCTCCTGGCTCTTGTGGCTGGTGTATGAACATTCATTGAGTAACTATGCAAATGGACAGCATACCTTAAAAGACTCCTGATGCTGAAAAGTAACTGCCTTTTAATTGTGGTGTCCGTGTGTGAAACGGGGCTAGTCCTCTATTACCGTATGTGCTGTGCTTACATGAATGTGTAAGGAACTGAAGGAATGAATGCCTCAAACATTCATCAACACAGAAAACTAAGGCCACAAGCTGTGGCCTTAGTGATTAGTCTAAGGAATGCTGCCCAAGGAAGCACGGAGTGTATCAAAGGATGCACAGCTTCACTCCCTGGTGGCTGTATTGCCAAACTCCTTAGATAATCCTTAAAGGAAGGAAACGTGGACTGAGCGAAACCATGTGTTCGGGTTAAGGGATTGATAAGATAGATAAATAATCATCACCAGGTGGACCCAAGCAAAAACTAAGGAAAAAATAAAAGGGAGTGGGGGGGAGGGGGTGTGAGCATGACCACAGACTCAATTGACGAGAGGGTTAGTGCACCCCATTCCCCCTCAATGCATGTGCAGAACCCATACTCCACCTTTTCCTCATCTCTCATGGAAATGGGTTAGTGGAGCACCTGCCTCTTATGGTCTAGTGTGCTAATCAGATGGTAAAGATGAACTTAAAAGCTGACAGAAAACTTTGCTGTGTGTACACCCACCATCCAAGATAACCAGACCTGATACACCACTGGAACCTGACTGGTGAACCAGACTCTCTTCTCTCTCTTCCTCTCCTTTCCTTTTATTTTCTTCTTTTGTTTTTATTTCTTACAGATTTATCAGTAAGAGGCCACATTGCTTACTATCCTTTTCCAGGTTTAAGTTGTTTCTACCGCAAGTAAAACATTTTAACTAGTTGTTTGGTGTCATTTCACCTTAATTTAACCCAAGGGGATCATAGAACTTTTAGGACTCCCTGGGCTTCCCAGTCCAGGTTGTAACAGAATGACTTCATAAATTTATCCTAGCTCCATACCAAAAGAAAAACCCAAATCTGTGTTATTCTGCTATAGACCCACTACTTCAAATGCAAGTCTGTTCTGCAGTGACATTCACATAACATTTAGGATTTTTTAATCCAAATTTGATGCTAATTTTATTAATTACTACTTTGCAGCATGCATGTTTATGCCAAATTTGATTTCTGGCTTAAATATTTTCCTTATTGTTTACCTCTGATGTATTTATGAGCAATTAGCATGCATTCTGTTTCAGTATTTGGCTTGTTAGCCTAAAGAAAATAGAGCTCTTCTGGACTGTCCTCAGAAACCATGCTTTCCATTTCCATAGACATCATGGTACCCTTTGTTTGCACCTATTTCGTGTTAGTCCGTATTTCATACATGTTCAGAATCTTACACTGTCCCTCAGAGGTGATCTTACTGAATCACTTAAGAGTTCTTCACCTCTGCTGAGAATATTTCTACTGATGCATCTTATGTTACATTTGCTATGTTATGGTAAGCTTGTAGTCACCAGTATATATTTAGCTCCTTTTCCATATCAGTTGTTTTGCAGAGGCAGTAATGATGGTAGGAATTTTTTGCCTCTAAAGAGTAATACAGTCTGAACATATTCTGTTTGCAATCTTCAGTGTCTCTGAGAAGAACCAAGAAATTATGGCCCTGAATGCAAAAGTCACATCTTCCTTGCTCACGCTTGTTTTAAATAATTTAAATGGAAACACTAACATAGACGTGACTATCCTTGACCAAATTCCAGAAGGAATTCCAAAGAATAGAGGTAAAAGTTAACCCACAGTAAGCTCAGACATTAAGCAGGAGTGTAGCAGTGCCATCTAAGATTCAGACACGGTTTCCAAAAAGATGCAGGTCTCTTTCTGCTGGCTGGTAAAAAGATGGGTTTTCAGTTTTAGTTGGTAAAAAGGAGGAGCCTGCCCACAAGGATAAGTTGTGATTGTTAAGTTACATGTTTGTAATAAATTACAAAGAGCCATTTTCCCCAGGGTTTGTGGGCATAGATAAAAGTTACAGCTGAGTCTGGGTCTTTGGTTGCGTAGTTCAGCATTTTCAGAAGTGCCTAGAGAGCTGGAATCATGGTTTGAAAGGGTCTTGAATTTCAAAACGCAGAGAAGCAGTGATAGAAAATCTTTCTGCCAGGATCTGTCAAGGCCTCTTGCAGAACTGGAGGACTGTACTTACAGGTCCCAGGTGTGTTACTGACACGTCAGGTTGTCTCCCTGGGTGTGATGCTCATGACTGGCAGAGCATGACTGGTCACACAGTGAACTTGAGCCATCTCCTGTGTGTAAGGCCTGTTTGTCCTGCAGCTCCTCATGTGATAGATACCTGGGTTTGCATCGTTTGAAGGACACATACTGATCACAGGATACAGTTAGTAAAATGCAATGAGGAGAGGATTCTGGCATTTAGAAGTATTAATATGGCCAACAGTCACTTCAGGTAAGGAGGGCTGCTGTGGGAAATGGACTATGTGTCTTATAAACAGTTCAGACAGGCCAATAGAAGCTGTGGAATAAATACAGCTTACTGTATATATCAGTATTGAAAAACTCCTGAACTGAAGCGATCCAAACCATTAGTCACTTTAGAAAGTGATGCTGGGATCCAGAGTTTGACAATACATTGCCCTGGACCTTTGTGAAGCTGTGAATATCCTTCGTTTGGTGCAGAACTGTCATAAAAGGACTAAGTCCTATAAAATGATCAGAATTTCATTAACATTTCAAATGCTCTTCTTCACCATTTGAATCCCTGTCATGATGACTAAAATTTTTAGAGAAAATCAAAACCTGTTAACTATCTTTCATGTTAATAATGAGCATTGGATAAAGAAGGATTTCCCAAAGTGGCATTTTAATTAATACACTTTGCACTATATCTTGCTACTGGGAATTCAGATGTACTTGCACAGGGGTACTTTAAAATTTAAATATTCCTAATAAGCTTCTTCT